CACGGTTTTTTCCCCCGTTTTATATCCTCTTTGCATCCGTAAGTGCAGTGGGACCGGGCCTTAAATTCTTTTGTGTCATTATTCTTCAACTCCTCCGTCTTATACAATCTCAGACTGTATAATTGTTATTTCTACTCTCACAAAACAGGCGAAATTGACGGACGGGCCTCAAGATTCTGTTCCTTTCCTTATCCTCTCGTTAAGGAGAATTTGATCTCATTTGTCATGATATTGACTATAATTTTTCAGGCCCAGTCCCCAAAAATTAAAAGGTCAGTTACATAATAACTGAAATTTTTTCGCGTCTGTGCCGCTAGATTCCACTATGGCGTCATTCTTCCACTCCTCTGTGGTCTTATACTGCCCCAGCACTGTCATATTTACGGTTATAGTTAACTGCCGAGTTAGTAAGTACTGCTGGTGCGTGGGTCGTGGGGCGTCAGACTGTACAAATGTTTTGACAACTCTGGTAAAACAGGCGGAATTGACAGGGGCAGATTTCGAGATTCTGTCCCACTGACTCCCTATTTCTGGTTCTCTTGTTCGCAAGAATTTGGTCCCAGCAATGACCTCAAGTGCCAGGATATTGGTTCAATTTTTTCAAAATTTTCTCAGGTTGCTCAAGTGTTATAGCCACTGCCCCTAAGGTTCACATAAATTTAATTACAAAATCAATAACAATCATCATATTATATGACATATACTTTATGTTAACTTGAATAAAACTGCTTTCCGACGAGATAACGATCGGCGAACAGCTATAGGCAATACGATCTATGTTCTACCGGGACGCCCAGTGTTATAGCCAGTATTTTGTTGACATTTATTGTGGGCTGTGATTGTGGATGGCGCCCTAGATTTGGAGCCGCCCCATCCCACCCCAATTCCCAGCTTCCAGATCAGCTACTGGCCCCTAGAAAACAATCATCTGCTCGGCCCCTGACTGCGTCACTCGTATTAGGGATATGTGCATCAGTCGGTCGCATTTTCGCTAAACACCCCCCCCCCCAAAAAAAAAATCTTTATGTACGCCCCTGGGTGTGGTATCAGCCCGAAAAAGTTTAGTCGGGGCAGCTGTAGTATTAATCCGTGTAAATTTAATCAGGGCGGATGTAGTATCAGCCAGTACGTTTAACCAGTTTGGGTGTTTTTAGTCAGAAAAGGTTTAGTCAGGGCGGATGTAGTATCAGTCAGTAAGTTTAGCCAGGTTGGGTGTGGTATCAGTCATAAAAGTTTAGTCAGGGCGGATGTAGTATCAATCAGTAAGCAGGGTGAAGGTGGTTTAGTCAGGGTGGCTGTTATTATGAGAGTGGTATCCGTCAGGGCGGCTGTAGTACCAGTTAGAATCAGTTTTTTTGAATGGCCAAGAAAATTGTCTGAGAGAGAGAGAGAGAGAGAGAGAGAGGGAGAGAGATGGGGTTTAACGTCCACTCGACACAAACTAGGCCATTTCGGGACTAACACATGGTTCAATTTTATTTCAATAGTTCGCTTGCGCGTAGGGGCCTTTAGAAGTGGGAGAACCCAGAGAAAATCCACGAGATTGAACAGAGAGGGGGGGGGGGCAATCCCACCCCTATGGTATAAGTCAAACAGAATATGCTTAGTCAAGCAGCGTGGATGTACATGCAAGTCACACCAGCGCCAGATAAAAGGAAATAAAGTGGGATTTGTCGTCTAACTTTTCTGTACCAACCGGGTTAACGGAAGACGTCCACGTGCTAATTTCGTTAAACGTATCGTGATTCTCTTCGCGCTTTTTTTTCAAGAGTGTATATTATAGCTTGGCATATTAATTCAATTGGGAATATTTCTGTGGATATTGCTCACCAAATCATTAATGTGTGTCATCAGCAAGCGCAAAATACGTAATATAGGATAATGGGCGAGTTGTTTACCATATATTGCGGTATATAGATAAAATCTAATTTATGATAATATATTCATAATAGGTCATTAACCACACACATGGTTCGATGTGAAATTTACATCATTTCTAACGTAAAAAAATAACCGCCGATCCAATATTATTACCGCCTGGAAACGGTATTAACATACAAATTGGTTTAAGTATATTTTATTTGAAAAGAAGCGTAACCAATCATATTTCATGCTTTAGTCGGCGGTCATCTGGTCCATTTATTAAATCTTTACATCTGCTTCATGTCTCTCTTTCCCGCCTTCTTAATTAAATAATCTATAGATAAGTTCATGCTTGATTGATAATTACCATTATGCCAATAGCTGTAAGATTTATAAATAAAGAAAATGGTGGAATTCTAAAGTGATTTTGTATTATCAATTTATAATGTAGGGGAATAGTTCTTTTCTTGTTATTTCCTTATTGTTTTAATCAAGTAGTGCCGAACAAACGCGACCATCCCTAGTCTATTGTAGGCTATTCAAGCTCCTATATGAACATGCGGTGCAATGTTCCATTAGATCACAGTTGGCGGTATTGCTGAGAAATTAACCAATACATAATGTATGTACTATGTATCCACCAATATCGATCCTCGGCTGTAACCGACAGACATAGCTCTTGAGTAGCGGACCATTACTGTAAGGGGTTCACGGAGTGCATTGCAGGTGTTGGTTTCCATGGTATTCCAAATATCTATTCATTTGATATACTATTAATTAACCAGCTAGTATAATAATTTTTTATTGTCTACGCATATTTTTGCCATACTCTATCGGGAATCCAATCAAACAATATTTATCTAAGTACTGCCACTCTCAACATATACAATTAACTTTATACATGGTCATTTTAAATTGACAAGACCCCTTTGATTTGGGTGAAAAATAAAAATGTCAGATTTAATTACATTTAATGTCATGATTTGTTTTTTGAAGGGAGTATCTTGGTCCAAAAATGAAAAGTTAAAAGGCCAACTTCGGTCACAATGTAACTGTTGCCTCTTGTACATATTATGCAGAGACTTTTACAACATATTTCCCTTTATAAATACATAAAATAACTGAACATTTCTATACCATCAAAAGAAAAACAACATTAAACATTCAATAAAACTATGTGTAGGGTATGTATGAAATCAATGAATAACTTGTTATCATACACCATTATATAAAAGCACACAATCAGATATTCTCACTATATCCAATAAACTAACCTATATAAAAAAATAGACTTCTCTCATACATATATGGGATATGTATGTATACTGTGGTACTAAACAATCTGTTGTATGCTACATGTAACTCAACATGGTATATTTCTATAAGTCCACAAATATTACAGAAAAACAGTTTAATTATTAACAGAACTTATGTTTGTTTGTAATTTACATTGAAAAATTCCTTGTAAAAATTCAATAATAATGACTCAGACTTAAAAATTCCAAAATTTATTCTTATAAAAAATGTTCACAATTTATTCTTATAAAAAATGTTCACAATTTAATCCTTTGAGGAATACTACTTTTAACTATGTTGAGTTTTTATACATTAATTACGATAATAAGAGTAGGCCGTAGTGCCGTTGTCCAGGCAAAATTCCCCTCATAGCACACTGTATGGTGTATGCCCATCTTCATTAGCCCAGTTCGGAGCAGAACAGTAGGAAGTTAAACCCCATTTCATTTCATTTATACATTAATTAACGGCATTTTCATTACAGCTGAAAATAACTATGAATAAAATTGACAACATTATCCTTAGGACAAGCCAATCAATCCCAACATCTCCAAACCTTTGACCTGTTAAGCATTTACAGGGTTAAGGTGAAAGGGGGAATAATTCTGATATGAGGCTGTATAATAAAACCTATTAAAGGTTACTCATTATATTAGTTAATTTCATTTTTAGAGATTTATGACAAATGCTAGTTTTGTACTCCATAATTCAGATCTTTTATAGTTTTAATTTAAAATGATCACAAGAAGTCTCACAATAAAGACAGTTATATCCACTATCTACAATAGATATTTCAAATCACAAATAAACACATTGGTTCTTTTTACTGCTGTTTAAACTTGTTCAAGTTCTACCAGAACACCATTGCAATCTTTAGGATGCAGAAATATAACAGGTTTACCATGTGCCCCAATCTTTGAACTTGGCGTTAAGGTCCTGATATTCTTTGATTTTAAATCTTTGATGGCTTCATCAATATTGTCAACCTACAAAAAATTGATCAAAAAGAAATGGAACAAAATAAAATCATTGATTTCCCCTTTTAATATGAAATTTAACAAAATAATATTGATCAATCAGAAATTGAATATGTCAAACCAATTATTGCTGTTTACTGGCTGCGACCAGAAATATATGGTAGCTTCCAGAAATTACCTTGAAATTTCAGTTTAATCTGGGAGTACCACTATGAAAGACGCAACCGGCTACACAAAGAAAATAACAATTCAAGGGAGGTAACCACAAATAATAACCTGTTTGTTTTACCTCTAAACATATGTGATGCATTCCGCCACTCTTGTTTTTATCAAGAAAGTTCTGTATAGGACTTTTATCACCAAGCGGATTTAGTAGCTAAAAAAGACAAAATTACACAACAATTTCTTCATTTAATTCCTTATTAATGTGGTCTTAAAATTAGTAGTTTTTGGTTTGGGGCTTTAATTTTGAAAAGAAAAGTCACTGAATTTAAATAGATGTTTTGGCATGATGTACTAAACATTGTTTTATGTGAAGATAAATATGAGAACTGACCTCAATCTTAGTATCACCTAATTCCACAAACACTGTATACACTCCATGTTCCTCTTGTGGCTACAATAGTAAACATATCAAATGTATCCAAGAAGGTACCAATTTTATTCAGATTCTCTAAAAACCTTAATCTCAGACTTCTTAATAATTAATAATTAATAATTATAATTTAAATATAATTTCACTGCCCATTTAAGACAATATTCAAAAGATAATTTACAACATTCTCAATAATAAATTCCTTACAAAAGAAGGAATATATTTCAAGTTACTTACCTGTTTTTCACTGACTTTAGCTCCTAAAACATCTCTATACATAGCTGTTGCTTTCTCTATATCAGGCACTGCTATAGCCACATGGTTTATTTTACCAACTTTCCAATTCTAATAATAAATTATCAATGGTGCAAATATTATTTATAATACAAATAAATAGATATTCATGAATTTATATTCTTCTTGTAAGACTGTGATCTACATGTTAATTAAACACTTTGGAGGGGATCCACCACAGACTTCCTGATGTTCTCCAAAACTGAGTAGTTACCTTGAAACCAGTGATACTGTCAAATATAACAATTCTCACAACAATATGATAATCAACAGGGTTATTAAATTCTTAAAGTAACTTAATTAAACTTGGGTCATCTTTGAAAAACTGTCACATATAAGAAAGTCTATATTTTTAAATTAAAATATTAATTATATGAAAGAAAACAAATATACACTCACAGCCGCTGAAAGTAAAGAAGTGTGTACATTTCTGGATTGTAGTTGCTTAATTTCTCTCTGAAAAACATGAGAATTTATTATGCTTGATGTTTCAAATATATTTCAATCACAGAGCTCATAATACAATAGAAGAAGACAGCTAGTTCAATAATAGTATTTTGGGCTATCCCTCACTACAATACTAGGTCAATTATGACTTAAGTTCAGTAGCCTACTTAGAAAGATATGATGAACTGACATTTCCTCAACTTGTGGCATCCCCTGAAGGCAATATAAGTGGTATATGGTCAAAACAAGCTAGCGTCATCTATAATCTTCACTAATACTGTCTACCTCTGATATTTTGATTTTGTTTTCTTAAAATCTGAGCCCCATTTCCAGTTTTCGGAAAATATTAAAATTAAAATTCCCATGGCTTAACCCTTGCCCTTGCTAAAATGTTGAACCATTTAAATAAAAAAACAGCAAATTTTCTCTTTATCAATAGATTTTATCGGATTAAAGCGAGAATTTCATATTTCTATGTCTTTTGCTCAATAGGTTATCAACTCACTATTATACGATCATAGGTGTCATTCTCACACTTAAAACTCATTTACACAGGAAATAACAACACAATTACCTCCCTTGTTTTCTTATTGAAAACAATGGTAAGCCATTTCCTCAACGTTAGAATTTGAAGTTGAAAATGATATTTTGTGCCAATTTCTCAGCTGGCAATAGTGAATTATTCTTTAACAAGGTAGGACTGTTTATGGATACCATCTATTTTAAGGCTCTATTTTAATAAATTTTAAAAATATAACTTAAAAATTTGAAATTTCCGCTTTAAAAAGAAGATCATCAAAGATTTCAGTGATAATTATTGGTGCCACTTGAATTATATTGTCAAAACAATTGTCTGCTGTGGACGCCAAACAATGAACCATTTTGGGATTGAGATGAGTATTATATTTTAGTAGGACGTTAAACCCCATTTCATTTCTATTTTGTAGCCTAAGGAATTCAAAATCGCTCAGTTGATGGCCACAGACTTTAATTAAATGTTAAATAATAAATTTCAGTATAATTTAACATAGATTATTTGATATTTTAATGCCAATGACGTCTATACTAACGTTAGTATAGACGTCGTTGTTTAATCCATAGTTAGTTGACAAAAATCGAAAAGCTATTGGCAGATGTGTTAATCGAGACTACAGACACTAAAGTAAAAGTATCTAACAATAATTAACTATGGTAATATTCCAAGTTGTGTCAGCATAGAACTGTACTAGATGGTGTTAGTTTATAAAAGCCAGACACAATGTACTTTGATATAATCCCTTTCTTTCAAAAAATACATACGAAGTGGTATCCTAATCGCAGGAAACGGGAACATAGTCGATTTGACATTTTATGTTTTCGAAGACTGGAAAGTTGAAGGCCGTCGGTTCAGGGTCGTTTTATTGTGATAAATATTAGCCTATATTGGACTTTGACTTGTTTCCATAGGGTTGCAAGGGAAATTAGGACAGGTTTCCAGTAGTACTGATTTTAATTTTGTAATATTTATCTCCGTACTATCAATAGCGCTTCTCAAAGGGCTAACATAAACATAGATGTGTATTTTCTTCCGACCACTTTGGATTCGTGGCTGTCTAAATTTATTAAAAGAATGCATTCTAAAGGTGAAGGTCTAAATCAAATGGAGTTATTTACCTTTAATCGTCGATTGAATGGACACAGCTCACCAAATATTGCTCACCAAATATTATTTTTAGTCTTTCTCTCCCCCCCCCCCCGGTGTAGAATCGAAGAAAAGGGTTTGAAAATATAATTTCTGCCAGGTTTTGGTGAATATTCATGATTTTGAGGCGGAAGGATACAAGAGTTGAGCGGTTGGTTGGTTAGGTTGAAATGTAGGGTCATAAAATTGCATGGTTTTTTTTATCTCTACTTCCAGCTTGTGTATCTCAAGTTTTCCATGGTGAACCTCATACGTGCTTTTGTGCAAGAGGTTGCCACTGTTGCTCCATCTGTGGTAGAAAGCGTTCTATCCAACGAAAATTTGGGAAAAAGTTAGAGCCGGTCTAAGAGACGAGAATTAACATTAAAGTCAATGGGGAAATCATTAGTGATCTGTGGCCGAATAATAAAATATACCGGACGGTCTAAGGGGGACAACTCTATTTTAAAAAAATAGTTATCTCCCTTAGACCATCCAGTATATTTTCTTCCCCGATTTCAGTGAGAGAAATGGGTTTAACGTCCACTCGAAACAAACTAGGTCATTTCGGGACTAACACATGGTTCAATTTTATTTCTTTAATTCGCTTGCGAGTAGGGGTCTTTAGCAGTGGGAGGAGACTGGAGGACCCGAAGAAAACCCACGAGGTTGGACAGGCGACCCTACTAATTCTTCGTCTTGTCAGGTACGGTCTAGCCTACACAACCGGGGATTCGAAACCACGCCAGTTGACTCAATGACCGACCTTATGATATAGAACGCACGTCGTGCTTACCACCCCCCACCCTCCCCGATTTCATTAAAATATAAATGATTTATTTGTATAATTCTCCTAAAGGGAAATACAGGAGCTGACAGGGTCCCTGACCGGCGGAGTCACGGGTAGGCCGGCCCTACATCGACCCCAATCCGAAAGTAAAAATTTGACATATAGCCTACGTTTTCAAGCTAAATAAAATTCATCTTCGCATCCACTGAAAACTATAATGGGATTAATGGCCTAAATCCGAGTAAAAAAATAATCTATGAACAGATGAATCAAACTCGCCATGTCACGGGGTTTTCAGCGCCATGGAAAATTGGATCAAGGGCAAATTGGATCAGTTGGTCCGAAGACGTGTATGCTCAGTCCGACAATGCACGTATATAGGCCTAATATATCGCACGAACGTAGAGTTGTTAGTCAGACCCTTCTCTGTCACGTTGATATTTTGATAATTTCGCAAAGATTCAAGCAATCGGGTTTTTTCGGGCAGATGGGCAAAAAAAAGGCACGAAATCTCATGACTTTTTGGACTGGGGCCACTCTGCATTGTGTGATCATTACGTTTCATCAATTTTTAGGACAAACGGGTAAAGCGAACAAACCAGCTTGTCCTCAGGATGAAATTCTATCAATCTGATTATCTGACAAGCTGTACTCGAAGGTCGTGTCAGGGGTCATACGAGCGGCTTTTGACCATATGACGTCAGACATTGATTAATCAATCAGCGTTAATTGATGTTTCTAGTGGTTTACCCACAGTTCCGTGCATGGCACGCCAAGAAGTCGCGCAGACCGTTTCATTGACCTATCCCTCACTTCAACCAAAACGCCGGTAATATAACAACTCTTCCAGAGCCTACAGTGTAGTAAAGACAAGTAAAACGAAATTTTGAACTATATAAAAAAAAAAAAACGAAACGAAATAGGATCCGTGTTTTATTCAGATTGAAATTCTATAGTATGCTACAGATTTTTGAGGGTCTGTAAGAAATACATTCATATTAAATTATTATATGCGTTACGACCCATTTGTGTCAATTTCTAGGTCGCAAATATACTATTCAAAAAAAGTAGGGGATATTTGATTTTTAAGTGTTATTAAAGTCACCTAATGAAACTGACGAAGAAACAAATGACAAAATGAAATGAAGTTCACATTCATCGATTTATTCCAAATGATCGTTAGACTAAGTAAGGCACAGACTGACCATTATAAGGGTAAAATGATACCCGGGGTCAAACAGCAAAGTTACCACAGCATCACAACCAAGTCAGTAACGGGTAAATCCTTCTCTGTTTGCCAAACAAGCATTGATCCGACGTGGCATACTCCTAATGAGACGTCTAAGGTCATTTTGGTCCAGATTTTCCCATTCCTGTTGCAACGCAGCAGCAAGTTCTTGGACATTGGCAGGACGTTGTTGACGTTGACGTAACCTCTGTCCAAGCATGTCCCAGACATGCTCGATGGGGGAGAGGTCGGGACTCAGTGCTGGCCAAGGTAATGTGGTGATGTTCTGTTGTTGGAGGTAACCTGTAACGATCCTGGCCCTGTGACATCTTGCGTTGTCATCCTGGAAGATGAAACGGCGGCCATGACGTCGTGCGAACGGCACAACATGGACTGCCAAGATGTTGTCCCGGTAGTACTGGCCTGTAACACGCCCTGCAACAACATGTAAAGCCGTTCTTCCAGCAACAGTGATGCCTCCCCACACCATAACAGAACCACCCCCAAATCGATCATGTCTGATGACGTTAACGTCTTGGAAGCGCTCGTTTCGACGACGCCACACCCTCCTACGTCTGTCCAAAAAATCAACAGTGAACCTTGACTCATCTGAAAACATCACATTGCTCCAGCGTCGATTATCCCAGTGTTGACTATCCCTACACCAACGACGTCTTGCCTGAATGTGATGATCTCTCAAACAAGGGATCACGCGAGGACGTCGGGCGCGAAGGTGGCCCCTATGCAGTCGATTCCGAATCGTCTGGCCACTCACTCTCACACCAGTGTCTGTTTGAAGACGAGCGCTGATCTGATTTGCTGTGATGACACGATTTCTCAAGGCCAAGGTACGGATAAATCGATCCTGGGCTTGAGTTGTCGCCCTTGGTCGACCTGAGCGTGGTCTGTCCTGTACAGATTGTGTATCACGGTATCTGGACCATAGCCTGCTTATGACAGACTGAGAAACATTCATCGTCCGCGCCACAACCGCCTGTGTTGTGCCGATCTGTAGCATGCCAAGGGCACGTAACCTTTCATTTTGGGTAAGCCGACGCATATCAAAATTTGTTTTCTGGTCACTAAAACAATTAAACTGATGTTTCCACCCTGGAATTCAATGCCACAATGACTGTAACATTCAAAGTCAGAGTCGTGCAAATCTTGGGTTGGACCCCCATGATGATCCCAAGCATCACCTGCATTCCATGCGGTAGCTATTGGTGCGTTTGAGCGTCACATATGTAACTGGAAATGTTTCTTCTGTTAGGTTCTATAGTGACTTTTTTCGTAGTCATTTGCATATTTTAGTATTATGCCCCCAAAATCAAATATCCCCTACTTTTTTTGAATAGTATATTAGCGATTTAATGCCTTCAAACTAGAAGCCTTCCCGCCCTAAACACCGTCTAGACCAATGAATACAGGTCACATAGATGGAATACAACAACTACTGCTTATTATTTACTGATTGACCTTTCATCCTGGTCTTGATAAGCCTATATGTCGAATCGTCGCTCAGCAATAAGCAGTAATTGTATTCCATAGAATCGTGACCCAGTAACCAATGACCTCGAAGGTAAGATGATATTTACACCAAGCGTTTTAAGAGAATACTTGGGATTTTTATTACTGTTAAATCAAGAGTAATGCACGGATCTTGCAAGGAAGTGTGTCGTGTACACCGTGCACCTAAAAGATCCACCAACAGTTTGAATTCAGTTGGTGTCCTGCAAGTTAAATCGCATGCATTGCAGACGCATAGATGAGTCATAGAAGATAATTACAATGTTCAGATCTGAAATTGGGTCTACCATTGACATTCTGACTGGAGAACTTTGGGGACGAGCATATATAAGGTTGTGGGCTAGGGTTGTTGCAGGTTTGAATCCATACTAACAAATAACTTACAAAAATAGTCGTCAAGTTTACATCGGCTTTAATAAAGCATGACAGTTTGAATTGGAAGGGGAATTGGGAGAAATGCCGCTTTCCGCCCCCCCCCCCTTCACCATATCAATAAATAGAATTTAATTACCATTTTAAGGGGTCAGAAGATAACCGAAGTATCGTGTTGAGACGTTAAAAAGATTCCATTCCTTTTGCCATTATGTTCAAACTAAACAGATTTTTATAATTTCAATTCTTACGCTTTTTTGATTTTGAACCTTTTATCAACATAAATAATAAAGATTGCGAGGTTAATATATAAGATAACCATAAACGGTAAAAGTAATGGCTTAGTTTACTTTGCCAGGGTGAGGGTATCACCATGGCCTATTAGTTTTATTCAAATTCAGTTGGTCCAGTCGAAGAAGCTATACACTTTCGAAAACAATCTAAAAATCAAACCACAAAACAATTGAAAATATCACAAAAAATACCTTTTTTGTGATATTTTCAAAAAGGGATTTTAATCTCAAAATTGAAGAAAAATCTAAGAATACGTCTTTTAAGAACAAAATTCTTTCTCTTTAGAAATAACATCAAGCTATTATATCGTCACAATGAACTTTATTCTGTTAGTATTCTGTCATATTAATACGTGGTTAGCTAACTCCCTTAGACGCCCGTTGCACCTCCTTCTCCCCCATTCCCCGAACACACACTCTGGGGACTTGTT